GGTTTGTGTTGTACAATTATCTATATTATTATACATTAATTATTATGATATTATCCGGCCTAAACATGCATTGATTAATGCGGTATGAACGGTCAGGTCGTTTTCGGTATTCGTCCCCGCGAAAGTGGTATAGGTATCGGTTTATTATATTGCGTGGCGTGGTGCGCATTGCAGGTACCCGCGCCTGCACTTTCCCGGAACTTTTTTTGGGATGCCTGGCCCGCGCAGCTTGCAGCAGGGCGATTCGAATTTTTACAATACAATATATATATTATAATACGCCCGGCGACGTCGCTATGCATTATATGTTGGGCATTAAAAATCAATGGTATTTAAATTGTCCGCATAGCCCGCACACAACCGCCGACACAATCGATACAATCGGAAATGAATCGAGGAATCGCTATGCGCAAATAAAAATGTGCGAATGCTCGTAAAAGGGTCCTCCTGCGGGTCGCAAATCACAATATAATAATACGACATATAACAATATTAATTATAATACTCGGTGACCGCGTGCATATAATATATTATTATATTGTGTGTGGTGGTGGGCTCTCTCTACACGGTATATAATATAGGTTTATATATATATATATATATCATGTATGTATATATATGCAGAGACTGAAGCGCATGCGAGACGGTCGCCGATAACGGCGGCGTACAGAGACAAGCCGCCGCCGCCGCTTCACCACCATCTCCGCCGCCACTGCTCCCTGTGTACGCGGAAAACGTGTGGCGGCGGTGAGAGTGAGTTTGTCCCTGCTGCGGGGCGCGCATGTGTTTTGTAACGATTTAGGGGAGGAGGGTGGTGGATGGGTAGGTGTCGCGCGCGCCGCGCACGGCAGCGGAAGAGCGCGGACGACGGACGGATGGACGACGGCGCGTATGGTGTATATACGCGAGCGACAAAGCGGGGCGGACTGGCGGCGGCGGCTGCGTTGGCGGCGGTGGCGGTGTCGGTAGTGGTGGTGGTGGTGTCAACGGTCCGTGTCGGCGGCAGAGCGGAGGGATTATATTATACACCATCCCCACCTCCCCTACGTAACCTCACCGCCCCTTACCGCCGTAGACGTCGTTGGCAGCCGCCGTCGGACGGGTGAGCGCGTACGTACAGCTGTGCGCGCGACCGCCGGCTCCGGGTCGGCCGGTACGGTGGCGGGGGCGGCGGTGGGTGGCGGCTGCGGCGGCGGAGATGACGGTGTGTGAGTGTGTGTGTGTGTGTGTGTGACGGGGAAGGGGTGGGATCGGCCGTGGCGGGGGTGTGACGGGGTGGTGGAGGGATCCCCGCCGCACAATAATCGTTTCAGTTTTTTTTTTCCTTTTTATTTCTCTCTTTTTTTTTTTTTTTTTGGCACACGCCGCCGGTGTACGAACCGAGTCGAGTAGCCTGACGGCGGCGACGGCAGTGTCGTCTCGACCACGATCACGATCACGACCACGACGACGACGACGACCACGGCGACGATCACGATCACGGCGACCACGACGACAGCAGCGGCGGCGGCAACGGCAGCACCCAACCGGCACCACACCGGCGACGGCACGCAACGCGCGCGCACACTACACTCGAACACACGCGCGCATAGACGCAGCAGACATCGGAAAGTCGAGAGAGTGAACAAATTATTATTAAAATTTTTTTTTTTTTTTTCAACTAAACGAGCCGCGTAAGCGTTTTCATTTTACACACTCACTCATACACATATATATATTTATATATATAATATATATATTAATTTTTGTGCGTGTGCGTATCTCTTCCACGGCACTACGACGATATAGAGTCCACGGCTGACACCACCGCGGTGGCATAATAATTACACGCATAGGCGTTCGCGCGCGTGCCACTCGTTTTCCAGTCGGCTCGGTCGGTCACAGTCAGTCAGTCAGTCAGTCAGTCCGCCGACCACTGCTCGCGTGCACGACCGCGGCCACGGTGCAGTATCGCGACGTCGACCTGGAGCAACGGGGTGACTATATTATATTATATATATATAATATATGCAATATATATATATATGCATATATTAATTATATACAGTACGTAACAATAATAATATTAAATATATTTATACACGACGGACGGATGTGTCGTGTCGTCCCTGTACAATATTATACTGTTGTCGCGCTGTCTCGTTTTCCGTTTTTCGCGGCCACATTAAAATCGTTATTTTTAAATTGGACATTACACGCGAATTAATAGCGGACGACGACGTACGTCAATCGACTACTGTTGTCCGTTTAAACTGTATAGTACGGTCACTAGTCGCTACTTATAATTATTGTACGGATCGAGTACAAGTAAAATATACTCTTATGATATATACATCGGTCGGACAATAATAATCATTAAAACGTCCTCGCGCGACTCGAGTTTCGCGACTTTACGTTTTTCGGGTTTTTTTTTCATTTGAAATTGTTCGACGTTCGTGAAGTCCCGTACGATAGCGACGCTTTAGGTATAGTGTATACACCTCTATACAATGCATATTATTTGGTATCTATAATAACATTATATATAATACGTTGTAGCGATATCGGTCCGTGCGAAAAGTTCGCGAGCGGCGGCGTCAGCGGTGCATCGTCGAAAGGTGTAGCGATATATTATAACGCATATATATAGATCGCGTGCACCACTGCGGCCTGCATTCTCGATTGGTGCTATGTGTACGGCGATACGCATGGGCTGCTTGGATCGGGTCGGACGGTTAAGACGGCAGTGGCTGCAGCACGTGGTGTCTTCCGGATCGATAGTTACGGTGGTGATAAAAATGCGCCAGCACCAGCAACACCACCCGATGCATCAGTCGTTATCGTGTTGCTGATAACAACACTTTCAGATAACAACGGAAAAAGTAATTATTGCATCCGATTCCGTTTTTCGCCTGTACGTATACACAATATTACCATAATATTATATTACCTGTTATTCGTTAGTTGTACCTATGTTTTGTTGTATTGCCTATCATCATTATTGTATAATGATGTAATTATTAAGGTTGAGCTGTATAACAATATGCCCAATACGATGTCACTCGCGAAACACCTCGGCGCGCTAATAATATTATTACCTACCTCATACGCCGCCGTCTGGGTACCCGCGAGCGTTTTATATCGTTTCACCGATAAAATACTTCGATGTGACTCTCTGGTCGTGTAGGTACACGCGATATACACGTCTAATCCAATATCATGTATATGACGACGGAGACCTTTATAATATTATATATTGTGACAGTTGTCGTTTTTGTAATGCCCGCCGCGACGACTGTGCCGCTCGCCGTAATACCACCTTTGAGTATAGATTGTGAACTCGATGGTATAATACGCATGTTAAATCGCACACAAGACTCGCTCTAATATCGTGTACGTGCCAATAATATAATATATTATAATTCCACCGCCCGACACGGCACACACTCGTTATTGTTATTATTACCCTGCGGGTGGGTTCTCTTAATGCGTACAAATCACACATAATCACGGTGCATCCCATACACCGCCCACTCAAGGTGTGACACCCGCGTGATTATTATGCCCGAGGTCGTGGGTACTATATTGTTGCCATCGTCCAGCTCGCAGCAGCAGCAGTAGGTAGTACCTATACATTATTTAGTACAGTGGCTAGAGGGGTGCAATAAGAAACACGGTTTTGTCTTCAACAGTTTTATCCCGCCCGAGGGAGTTTTTTTACACCTGAAACCCTAAACGATACGTTTGCAAAATTGTTCGCATTTCTATGACGCGGCGATGAATTTTTTATTTATTTCAAGAGTTTATGAGTAGATAGTTATTCTAGTTAAATTCGATTTGTTTCTATTATTACATAATTTATGCGTCTACTTATTTTAACCGATTTCTTGATATTCGAAATTTCAACCACTTATACTACCCACCTACTTACTTATTATACTTTCATTCGTTTAGGTTATTAATTGTATAATAATATAGTCCATTGTAGTACTTCCATCGATTTTACATTAAACTCGTTTATACCGTCTCGTGACGAAAAATTAAATGGGTGGGGCAGAACGTTTTATTTTTGATAGGTTTCTATCGTTATTACTTAGCTACAATTTACAAATTTAATTTTTAAAGAAAAATTGATATTTTTCGAATATTTATTAAAAGTTTGAAATAAGTAGTTATCATTCGAACATCATTTATTCACGAAGTCGTAATGTATTTGTTGAAGTTTATAGGCCATTGGTTTTCTATATATAAGTAATACGATGGTTTTCGATTTCTAAAAACCGTATATTTATGGCCCATGAACATGCAATACAAACATCAATCGTAAGTAGGTACGTTATTTGCTTCTAATAAGCTAATACATCCCACCGTGATTCATGAACCCAAAATCCAATAATATTTCGGAGTTATCATTTAATGCATTATAATATCGAATACGAAAAAACACCCGAAAACCTCTATAGTAAAACATCCTAGTCTAGACGTAATTAATTTCAAAAAAAAAAAATCAATTTTTGCGTCGCCGGTAAAATTATTTCATGCCGTACAAAACTGTTTGGAGGATAACTTATGGGGTAGGAGGCGATGTCGCGGAACGGTCGGTCAGCTATAACCGTGGTGGCGGTGATAACCAACGCGAATCGAGTAGGTATAATAATTATTAGTGTAATATTTCATTTTGAAATTGGCCGTTATTACTTCCGACTGTCCACTATGACCGAAAATTTACGAGAACATTTACCGCAGTAGCATGTAGTATGTACCTACGCGCTCGAGCAATATTGTTTTTCACATTTGGAGAATTTATATAATAATATAGTATTATATAGAAAGGAAAATGGAATACCTATAATATATAACGCTGACGGTGGAAACTTGTTTTTGTGTTTTCACAGATTTGCTGTCGAAGAAACAATACTCAGTGGTAGCCACCCACTATCACTCTCAATCAATGATTGATCGTTAGTAGCAAAACGTACAGACAAACGAAACAGCAACATTTTTGCGGCCGCTGCGATATTATGCTATATACCTGCAGTCGGGTGCAGTGGCGACGGCGGCCTACTACGGTAGTGGCGGCTGTGTTGTTGGCGCTCGCGGTATTAACGCCACGGATATCGACAGCACAGAAGCTATTGCAAACGCCAACGAAAGGCGGATTAACTCCTTCAGGTAATCTTTCGTCTTAATAGTCTAATATTATTAGAATATTACGAGAGGGAGCACGACAAAACGATCGCGTTTAAATTATTATAGTCGAACCATCAACGTCCAATCACGATTTGCAACTCCACGTGGAATCGATTATTACTGTACGGCCGGCCGAATGCTAATGTGTGTGGTGCATATAGGTATCACCGTTACGATTATCACGTGAATTGGATATTATTATATTTAGTTGAACGACAAAAAATTTTCATCACCATTTGCCAAGACGTGTATATTTTAATAAGCCACCATGTCGTCCTCAGACGTCACTGTTTATTTTTTATTTTATTTTTATTTTTTTACTCAAGTCGAATTAAAAAATACATAAATAATAGAAATAGTCTACCGTCATTATCTCAAGCTAAAACGTGAGTCTATCGCAGACGCAATATATTATAATGTTAATTACATTGGCCTTTTTATCACGTTTACAATATTTTGTCTACAATCCGTGCTCATTTTCTATTGGAGATTTCACAATAAATATGTGTGCATTTTTTAATTCTTTTGTTCGTGAGTCTTTTCATAAAATATTTTTCGGGTAATAAAAAGTCCTAAAAAGTATTATATTTCAACTCTATAAAGACAAGAAATACAATAGGTGTAGACTACGGATGATACTATCGTGTTTAAAAGAGGTCATAAAAGCTTCTATATAACGCATCAGCAGTTTTGGAGAAAATCGTGATAAAGATGAAATAACGATGAAAAAAATATGAATAAGCGCAGTATTATCATAATTTTTACTATTTTTTGGAAAAACTGTCTCCGCTTAGAATCGTTTTTATTAAGATTTAATAATTTGCTAAAGACTCACGTTACAGCGGCCACCCAACTTCAGTTTAACATTATTTTTCTTAACCTCGGTAGTCGTTGAAAACTGAGAAGGATAACTAATACCGTTTTATTTATAACAATTCTATGTAACATTAATGCATTGTCGAATGATCGCAAGCAAATTTAAGTAAAACTCACTTCTCTTTTTTTATTTATTTCCATATAAACAGAAATATCCAAAACTACTCAGGGGAAGTAAAACCAAAAGTGTATACACATTTTATGTTAATTTGTCTCTATTTTACTCGGCGACCATCTGATACTAATTATTACTGCTACGTCTGTAATATAATTTTTACTATGAGTACGAGCGATGGCAGTGAATAATATAACCGCTGACACATTACTGTAGTGGTACATGTATTATAGCATATTAGCATCGTCTGTCGCAGTAATAATATAAAATTTAATGTCTTATACTTACACGCACCACGTTGGATATAATACTACTTTTTTTTGTCCTTTATATTTTTAATTTTATACAAACGGAAAATGAAAATGTTTTTAAAAGATAAATCCTACCGTAGACATATTATACACATCCATGTTATCGAAATAGAAACGTCATTTATAAACATCCTTGTAGACGTAATAAATTTCACAAATAAATAACGTTTAACGTTTCAAAAATTATACTTTAATATCTTAATATCGGTGGGTATTTGGTTCGTTGCCATTACTGATCGTTATATGAACACACACACTATCGTATGTCACTGACTGACCAGCTGTTAATTTACCGTGTCTCTTCGCACCATCATCATATCACATCTCAATGCACATGAACGCACACACATTGCCTTCTTTTCTTTATACCTCTCACAGACCATTTCTTCTACGCCACTTGACGGTAATAATAATTAAAGACACGTGCTGTACTGCTGTCAACGTTGGTCAGCCGTGTGAAACCCCCCAAAAGTACATATTTACTGTTATTTCCCCGTTTTTGGTAACGCGATACGAGTGTGTGTGTCTAGTGCCTGAAGTATCATTAATTGTCATTATATTATACACATGTCGTCGTTATTATACACCAACAGTTGTGCTGTGTAGTGGTTGTGGTACATGTGGCACGCGAACAAGACATAGAAATATATATTTTTGTTTAACAGATAATAAACTATTTTTAAGTAGTGTGTGGCTTATACAATTTGGCTGTAACTTGGCGTCGATGATGTTGAGCGATACGAATTTAATGATGAATGAAATATTAATAATTTAAAAAATATCATAACAGTTAAAATATTATTTATTTTAAGATTAACTGAATACATTTTATTTATTTTTAATTACACGAAAACTTTTGGTTTTAGTAGTCGAAAAAAGTTCTTGGCCTCCAAACTTTGTCATCGGTTTTTTTCGTTTAATTATCACTAAAATTTTAGTTGGTTTAGTCTCGGTTTAGCTTATTGTTTTAAAATAAATAGATTTCTCAACAGCCTTTTCGGTACCATTTAAAATTTGTTTTATTAAAATCAAAATAAAATATAAATAATATAGTTTATTTATTAAAGTTATTATAATTATGCATATTGCATGGATATATATACCTACATATATAACAATCGTAGGTATTCATATTATATTAGATATTATAATTATTAATGATGATACTTTTATATTCAATAAAATTAGGTTAATTTTTTACCAAACACCACTACGTGTCGAAAACTCTTCATTTATTACGTAACATCTATGACATATTTAAACGAGTGTGAGAAAAGGTGAGAGCCTAAAATTTGAGCCACGCGCCGTTTTATATAATATTTACAAATGCTGCGATTTTGACCGGGCTAAACGCTGCTGATGACGACATTAATTTCTCGAAAACATAATATAAATGAATAATCGACTGTGGTTTTTTTCACTATAGGATAATACTGCGAATTATTCAATCCTAATAAAAAAAAAAAAATATGCGTAGCTCATCATGAGTTCGATAAACTTTTATATAATGACAACAATGACGATATATACACGTGCGTGATTACTAATTATTATTATACTTGTACCCACTTTTAAGAATTATTTTCATAACTATTTAATATTGTTACACATGCACTCGTTCATATCTCGGGTATAGTATGAGTAACAAAAAGTTGGTTCCTCCGAGACAATATAATGTAGAAAAAAGGGGTGTATTTGAAGAATACGAGGGTGCCGGAATTGATTAATGGCTAAAATAGTACTCGACGAAATGGTACCGAATGGTACGATATTTTATATCTGATGGCCAATAAATTATTATAATACTATTAAAGTGATAGTGAAGATAGAACATGCAGGATTATCTGGATATTTAGCCGTACTACTGATGATGTTTTACTCAGTTTTAGTGCTTTCTCGCGTGTATCTTTCCGAGCTTCTTAGCTACGCCCAACACATATAGGTACTTTTCTTTTTTTAGATTATAGGTCCTTGAATAACTAAAATCGTAAAAATATGTTCTCACTATTAATATAGTTAGGCGGTAATTTAAGAGAAACAGTTTTCACGATTAAAAGAGCGATAAAAAAAAACATGGACTTACATTTTTAAGAATTTAAACTACCTACTCCACAGTATACGCTGCAATGTTAAAACATTATAATTAGATAGGTATAATATTTAAATCCACTGGCTGTCTGGCTACAAATACATATGGGAAGATTTCTTGTAAATAATAAATATACCTTACTATAGATCATCGTCCTGCTGGTACATGCACAAAAAAAACAGGACATTGAACCTAACATTTTCCGCTGATTCCTGAATACGTCCAATGTTAATATTATACCTATATATACTGGTAATGCATTACTTCATTTTGGGTTCAATCGCACAAACAATAAAACCATTAGTGTGTAATGTAATACTATTATTTTGTTAATAAATAATGATGATAATCATACATTAAATTGAACAGAATATAGAATATTATATTACCTTCATAAAATATTGAAACTGTATATGTACCTATATATAAGTATAGTATATTTATGCTTACAAAATCATATTATATTTGTTAGGTACTCGTACGTAAAGCCGATGTTATAAACTAGATATGCTTACTAATTCAATTAAAATTAACAACCAAAATTAATTACCAATTACTATTAAACACAATTAATATTTTATGAATACGTCATAATTTTTAAATTTATGACTTGCATACCGCATGTAACAATTATTTACTTTTATCGTACAGCGGTGGTGCTATAGGGTATAATCTCCTGCTTCCATTACTAACACATCCCTATAGAAATATAATTTTATTGCTTTTAAAGATCTCACAGACCATAATATAATAAATTAATATTATGGACTTATACTATATACGTTATGTTTAATTCATTATAGCCAATACATAATTATCGTATAAAAACAATATGGATTTTAATGGTTAAGTTTACTTAACCATACAAAATCTGTATTTATTTTTTTTTTTTCGACGCAAGGCATTTTATTTTAATGTATACAATAGTAAAATAATGTTTACTGATATCTAAGACGGATATTATATTATTAAATATTTTAAAATCATATTATACCTAATGGTGATTTCCAATGTGTAGGTACATATGTGATAAAATCTTAGGAATAATTTATGGAACACAATTTTATTATTGAGTAGTTTATCTTTATAGTATTACAAACTGAAAATTTATATCAGTAGGTACCCAATAAACAAAAGATCAACGAAATTATTTTACAAGGACCAATAGTAAAAGATAACATACAATCGTAATTTACTTATTATTCTGTTTGTATATAAGATTCTTGTTATGACAACTAAGCTCTAATGATATAGTATTCATTAACTTACACAATACTTTACTACTATATACTTGTTTGTTTCCATGTCCTTAAGACTTAAGAGTATGCCACATTACAATTCAAAATAAAATTAAACAATCCCAGTCAATCACACTTGTAATATCGATATAATGTGTATTGTGTTGTATTTCCAAATTTGTAGGTTAGTGAATAGTGATTGATTTGATTGTGATTTAGGTACTATACATACAATCAAATAAGGATGATAATATTATGCTTTTTTTATTTAACTAGGTTTCAAAATAATTACAATCGCTAATTAAGCTAAACAAAATAAACTGTAGGTACCTAATTAGTAAAATGTATCAATAAATAAATAAAATTATCCTATTAATTTAAATACGTAGGTAATAAAATATGTTTGTAAGACAGAGACCAGAAATATAATATACAAGAGGACTTCTATATTTAATTTTAAAACAAATAATATTTTATAATTATTCAATTAATAAATAATTTATCCTACGTTATATCTAGTTCACCTATTAAGAATTTTAGCATTTATGTACTTTATATTTTATGCAATTCGTATATTAACCGCATAACGTGATGTCTCCATCTTAAAAACATGCAAGATGTAACATATAGTAAATTTGTGTTCAGTGTAACCAATTTTGTGTTAACAGCTTTAATATAAGATTGAACTGACCTATATTGTTATAATATTTCGAGTTAAGTTCATTATCTGTGTTTGATAGTTAAGAATTTTACGATTTTTGAAATTTTTTATTGAATTATTAGTAGGTTTGTAAAATATAATTATATAAAATGGCGCATAACTCCCTTAAAAATTATAATATCGCAAAAAATCCACAAATAATGTTCTTACTTTTAAATATAGTAATTGGTGAATTCGTTTTAATAAAGGTAATAACACCGAAATTGGTTCTGCTGAACATTAATTTGCTATGTACCAACTACTTTTGTATGCTGGAGACAACATAGACTGGGATATAGCGTCCTTTTAATGATAAAATTATAAAAATATCCAATTATCAGTATATTATTTTAATATTTATAATTGTATTTATTTATATGCAATGGTCGCAATAAATATCGAGGAGAGGGTTCGAAGTACAAAAAGTTCATTGAAATTCAACTATTCTCTCAATTATTTGTCTCAATGTTTATCGATAACAAATTCTTAAGACTTTTTTGATTTATTCTTTTTGATTCAAACATTCTATTGAAAAAAAAAACTATTTATTTATTCAGCAAATTATATATACATTACTTTAAATAATTCAGTAGTACAATAGACTGTCAATAGTAAATAATTCTTTACTATTCTTGATTAAGTATAATATAATAAAATATATTATTTCAAATTTCAATGTATGAATTCGAACTAATTTTCTTCTTCTTAATATCTTTTTCACAAATTATTTTTACTATGACACATTAAAAATTTTCATAGATTTTTTAAACAAAAAATATAAAATAATATTTTATTTTTCAGAGTGATTTATACAGGTTCTTAATTTTGATCGTAACAGTCTATACGTATGCTATAAAGTATAAGTACTTAAATTGTAATTTGCAATATAATGTATTAGAAAATACACGCACAGGCAAGAAATGAACCTATTTGAAAGTAAAAACCTTTAAAATAGTTTTGTATGTCTCAAATAGAACTAGGAAACTATTGATTTTACAATGATGTATTTTTAAGTACATTTTAACATAGTAAAAATGTTCTAAAAGTTTCTTCTAGTTATTCTTTTATTACCTAAGTTACATATTATACAATTTATGTATACGTGAGTTATAGTTTTTTTTTTATATTTAAGTACTGCAAACCACATTGTACTTCCATTTAAAACATAAATATACCGTAGAATGGTCACTGATTCATTAATCATAATAATGTATACTATGCCAAACTATTAATCTAACTAAAATAATACATTAACTATGGGGATTTAGGTTTTCTATAAATCTTAATTTATTCTCACTATAACGAACATAATAATATTAAAATAAGTATAATAAAATAATGTACAAATGCCTAGTACCTCATTTTTTTAAATCTTCATAAAAACACTATATTATACTTTATTATATAAGTAAAGTATGAAAATATATTTTAACATTTTATGCTCGCATAATTGTTTTTAAAATAAAATAAAAACCATGAATTACGTTAATATGCACTAGAATAATTTATTAACTACCATCCAAACCAAACCGCAATCAAACATAATATGGAAAATAGTTTTATGTTCTTAAAATTATAGTTTTTATCATAAATGTTAAAAAATTAATAAATTATATTTTTATAGAAGAATAAATGTATATAAAATATTAAAATATATTTTTAAATTTTTTTCAACTATAAAAGGCAAAACTAATGTTCAGCATTTTTTTGTATCGCTTATGCATATTATCTATTTATATTGTTTTGTTTTGTAAAAATCATAGTACCTATATAGCCAAATAGACTGAAAAAAATATTTAATTTTTATTTATCTCATCAGAAGATTTTACTATACTTAGAATGTTAATTAGATTTACTCAAATGAAGCACACGTGGGAATCAAACTTTGAATTTGAATTTTATTTTTCCTTGTTTTGAAAAAATTTTCATAATTGAATGAAATATCTGTTTTAAGTACTTACTTATCACATATCTATGTAAGAATAAAGTAATGGAATTACCTATTATTCTAAAAATTATAAAATATAATTTCCATAAGAATTAAATGTTCACTAATCAATAATATCTCCTTATAGTATTCTATAATATACGTATTACCTGCTATTATCTATAAATTAGAAGTAACAAGTATCTGGTTACAATGTTTCGTGAACATTTATTTATATCTAAAATAAAATAATACAAATCCATTTAACACAATTATATTTTTTAAAAACTTTAAGTTGCTTTAATCAATGATTTTATAACCAAAATATTATAAATTGTACCTACGAAGAAAAAAAAATAAGCCATGTATGTGGGTTTCCGTTGAAATTTAAATATTTTGTTTCACCAGTGATGTCAATTTTCCAGACATAATATTATAGGTTATGATCTAATCTAAACTTAAAATTACTTTTAAAAACTTTTTTGAACAGGAAAGTGAATGTTACAGATAGGTACTACAATAAAAACACACTTTATAAATTAAATTGACTGAATAACTATGTTGTATACATTACACATCATACATTATACACGATATATTATAGGTACCTATATTATTTTATAGTTGTTAAAACTATTTTTTTTTATATATATCTAGTAGCATCATCACCTTCCCAAAACAATATCAATTATTTCGCCGTAAACGAAGCTAATTCACCATTGGCCATTTTGGATTTACTTGAAGCTACTATGCAAATATACCATAATTATCAACATCATTACAGCGGTAGTAATAAAAGTGATACTACTGGTTTTACATTGGGAGTGCTACTCGTGGCTGTATCAGAAGATGAATTTTCTCATCCCGATGTTTTTCCTCCCAACCGGTTAAGACCAGCATATAGCATGCAAGGTATATCCATAATAGACTAATTAAATATTAAACAATAAATGTACAAACAATTCGAACTGTTTCAATTATTCATACTATTCAAACAAATTAGGTGCGTTGAGACAATTAAAAGTTCCTGACATTATTTACAAACGTGCAATTCATTTATTACGAGGTGCGGACGAGTTAACTATAGCGGCAGTAGTCCGACAAGAACGTGCTAACACTGGATCCATAGTATCATTTTCCCTCGACTCCAACAGGTATCACAAATAAAATTAACTAGAATATAACAAATAGCGAGATTGCAAATATGAATCGATTAACATTAATACTGTGATGGTGTCGTTTAGATACTTGGAATTAGAATCAAGTGGACGTAAAGACGAGGTGAGGTTGCACTATGTATCACAGAGTAGCCGTCGTGTTCATACCGAAGTGTTTGCGTACTCTCTGGCTGATGGCCATTGGCATGCTGTGGCCGTAACACTGAGCGGTACCCAAGCACGTCTGTTCATAGACTGTCGTCTAGTATACACGCGAACTTTGGTCGCTGGACCGGCTGACACTAGTTTTCTAGGGTCGCCTGACCTGTACGTAGGCCAACGCAACAGAGGAGTGCATTCGATTTTCAAGGTATTGTAAAATAATAAAAAAACTGTCAAAAATAGTTCGAGAAAATTAACACTTGGTGAACCCTACTATCGCTAATAGGGGCTTCTGCAAGACGTCCGGTTGATCAGAGGGGCAGACGGACAACGGGTGCAGTGCCCTAACCTGGACACGTCGTGTCCGACGTGCGGTCAATTCATCGCCATGCAAAAAACGATGGAAAACCTGAACAAAATTGTGCATCTGTTGAGCATCAAGGTACGTATAAGAACCGTTAAAAGTTGTGGACAAATCATCAATGTGTGTTTCACTTACAGCTCGAGGCAGCCGAAATGAGAATTTCCGAATTAGAAACTTGTGAATGTCGCAAACCATGTGTACAGTTTGATGAACGCAGTAATAACACAGTAATGAAAGTCGATGGATCAGTGTGGCAACACGAATGCCAAACGTGTACATGTTTGGTAAGTACCAATAATGTATCATTAACGTGATCCATATACCTATATGAAATAATAAATCGATTAAAATGATCAAAGAGTAACATTTCCGTATCATATTTTCAGCGCGGTCAAGTAGAATGTTTGCCGGTTAGATGTCCCCTAGCTGATTGCAAGTTTCCAATACGAAAACCTGGTGAATGTTGCGACACTTGTCAAAGTATGTTAACAAAATATTTATAAAATTATTACTCATAAAAAACACTAATGTAACGTAACTATTATTTTCAGAACCATGCCGAGCCAAAGGTGATATTGTATTCGAACACGGTGACACAATAAATTTGGAACCATGCTTAACCTGCATTTGTCTCAATGGAGTTGTTAAGTGTGACAAAGTAGATGCACAAACTCAATGTCCGGTATTAGAATGTGACATATCCGAACAATTTTCCGTACCAGATCAGTGTTGTAAATTTTGTCCAGGTAAGAATGCATAACAATACCATTTAATTCGTTTTTGTTCTAATAAAAGCGTTGTAATAAAATATAATATAGACAGATTTTTATTCAAGCCGCGTCCAAACAAATGTATAATGTCTTTATAAATGTTTGTTAAGAATACATATCGATATTATAATATGCGTACATTGTACGCATAACTCTTATTTCTATGCCAAAATAATATGATTAAAATCTAATACAAATTTACAAACCTAAAATAATAAATTAATGGAAATTTAAATTACTTCATAAAATATAATACAATATTTGATTACCTAGTTAGGTATTAAAATAATATGAGGGACAACATTATTACTAATATATTATGAACAATTATTAAGTATTCACAGTATTCTACGTAATATTTAAGTTAGATTCTTACAAACAAATGCACAAGTATCTAGATGAAAAATTTATTCTGCTTTTAATTAAAAATATATTGTTGGTATAAACTTACATAATTATACATTACAGTTCGTTTTTACTTTACAATTTGAATAGTTTATTTAAATGTTACGTTTTTATACTAAAATTAATACAAAATAATAGATAAAATATGTATCACATTTAAAATATAAGTTATTATAAAAATAAAATTATCCGAGGGGATGAATGTAATTTGAGGACTAATGTACCATATTGTTGTGGTGAAATGTCAATAGTCTACTAAATATATCAGATACCTACTATAATATAATATATAACTTTCAACGTAGTATACAAAATACTTTTCCCCTATATTTTTCGTGGCTTACAAAGAAATAAGATACGTTTAAGTGCATAACCTTCTTAGTAACACATGTCTTAAAACATGTGCATTTAATCTTGTGCATATGTCACATATGCCAACAGTTTAAAATTATTAAGGGTTCGGAAGTAAATATTGCTTTCAAATTTTCAATGCGTTGCCAACTTGAGTATGAAGTACCCATTAACTAAAATTATCTATATACGCTGTTAATAGGCAATAACTAAATAATAACCATTGGCTGTTAAAAATTATTTTTCTTAAAAAAAAGTATTTTGAACGCTGACATTATTATAAGTTATAACACTGTTGGTCTCAATATGTTTTCAAACCTTCAATATTTTACCGTAACCATGTGTGAATATGAACAACACATGTTGTAATAAAATAATAAATTCTTTTGAAAAATGTAAACAAGAAATTTGGTATTCGAAATGTTACTATTACTAAATATTAGTCTAATTTTAGATATTATTATTGTTTACTAAGTAGGTACTAACAGTTATAATTTAACAAACATTTAAACTCGCATGTTCCCTTTTGGATGTGGCTTTTATTATAACGATTTGTACTTAAATAATTATTTACAATGGTCAATGACAGAGCAGCCCGTTTGGAAATATCAATTTTCCAGACGGTCTACAGGTCCTGTAAATTGTAAATGTTGTGTTTGTTGTGTTAATTAATATGTTTTGAAATACTAAAAAAAAAAATAACAAAAAAATGCGATAGTTAATTGTAAGAGAAAACTGCATTTTCAAAAATAAGTAGATGGTGTTGGAATGGGGGGAGGGGTGGCCTGGATCAATTATGATTTCCAGGCCCCAATTGTTGTTTTCATAACGCCTTTTATTAATATAATTTTAATCTTGTATGTGTGTGTCTTGTATGTAAACGCTTATGCAGGCGTCGATTATTGTGCACGAGGTGGACGTGACTCGTGTCATCCGAACGCTACTTGTATCAATCTAAAAACCACACACAAGTGTGCGTGCGCTGTTGGGTACGCTGGTACCGGTTTACAGTGTGATGGTAACTAACCGTATTAATAAAATATTCCGCTTGTTAACTTACGTTATTATGCATCGATAATAATATCAATTAATAAAAACGCCGCGCGCGCATAACAATGCCTAATAACGACACGATTCGAATTGATGATAATGCGCAGATGTGGACGAATGCCTGAGCGTCGGCGGGCCAAATGGACACCACTGCGACGTGAACACGACTATTTGCGTGAACACACCTGGATCGTACTCGTGCAAGTGCAACGCAGGGTACGCGCGTCTCAACAGGTTCGAATGCGTGGACGTGGACGAGTGCAGCAGCGCGGAACCTCCGTGTCACGTACACGCCGCTTGTGCCAACTCGCCGGGCGGTTACAGCTGCAAGTGCGCCGACGGTTACGAAGGGGATGGCTACACTTGCAGACGTGAGTGCACATATTATATTATAAGTTTTAATGCCTCAACAGTATGCCTTTTATTATATTCTAGTTTCCCTCACAAACCTTTCACAAGTTCAGTCTGCGTGTTTGTATACTGCAGTAATAATATTTAATCATAATATTCTTGTCTACAATATAAACCTTTCATTATATATATATAGTTCGGATCGTATGTTTTTATGAATACGTCGTGTACATCTGTTAGCGTTGCTTTTAATAGCTATGGACAAGTACTCGAGTTACTCAATACAAAACTTATGTACCTGTAGGGATTTACTTTACAATAATATATGACCTACCAATAATCGATCGCACTGTATATGCTAATATTGTGTTTGTCGCGTATTTTGTAGCTGTGTGCCAGCAAAAGTGTTTGAACGGCGGCGTGTGCACACGGCCAGATGTGTGCTCGTGCCCGAACGCTTTCGAGGGGCCTGCTTGCGAGCTGGACGTTGATGAGTGTACCACAGGGGCACACGGATGTCTAGGCCCCTCGTCCCGGTGCGTCAACATGGCTGGATGGTATTACTGTGCGTGTAGCCCGGGGTACCAAAACGTGATCATGTATCCGGCTTCGGCCGACATCGCCACCACAGCTACTAGTGACTTGAACGCAATGGAATCGGCCTGGTCGCCTTCGTTGGGCACAATGTGTCAAGGTAAAAGCATTCTTTGTAGTATTCACGTATCAAAATCGATGTCGTCCACTGGGGCAGACAACTCTCTTTCCTTATAATTTATTGTTGTGTACATTATAACTATTATAATGTATATAATTTGCTTAGGTACCTATAATTATCTTATAGTGGGTAGGAATTGAAACTAATGATATATAAAAAGAGCTAAAAGAACCGAATACATAATATAGACACCATATACAACATCATCATTCCGAATCTATGTTATATTTAAATGACGTTTAATTCAGTGCCAACATAGTATATTATATAAATACTGTATTAATATAAACATATTTTGTTCAACTCAAGTTGAAATAAATTTAATATTTATTAATTAGAGACATTTTATTTTTTATTTTTATTTATCCATCCGGGTAAAACAAAATTTTTTTATAAAAAAAACTGTTGAAACCATCATAAAAGTAATTACTTATTAACTAAATAAATTGATTTACCACGGTGATACTTATATAGAAGTTGTTAGCGTCATACTTTGGGACACACTGTACATGTTTTACGCAGTCCTTCGGTTATGGTGTGTGTATGAAACAAAAACTATACCCATTTCTAACATATTTTTGATCTGTGCAACTGTGCATAATGTTTAGATATCGACGAATGCGCGACTAATAACCATACGTGTCATCCGACGGCTACGTGTGTGAACACCGTGGGATCATATGAATGCAAATGCCCTACGACCCATGCCAATGCCGGTAACATCTCTTCGAAGTGTAAATCGAGTAAGTCGAAATAATATTATGCCATATACAACAGTGTTGTCGGATTAAAACGCAGGTGTTATAATTTTTTTCCTCCCTCGTCGCGTAGGTTGTTTGTATAAGGACGGCAGTAACGCAGTGACGGAAGTGAATGACGGCGCCTGGTTCTCAAAAGATTGCACCAACTGCACGTGCACAAGTGGACGTTTACGTTGCTCACGAATTGAATGCGATTGCACAAACAATGACCATGTACAATCGATTTGTTGCGCTCATTGTAACGCACAAGCGTCGTGCGTTCATCAGGAATTGACGAACGTGAGGTTCCGCAGTGGCCAACAATGGATATACCAGTGTCAGACATGCGAGTGTTTAGTGAGTAAATAGAAATATTTAATGTTGTTTTTATTGTATTTAGGTTGCTGTGTGTATATGAAGGGATCGGATATGTATGTAAAATTTATGTTTTAAAATGTTTTCCTTAGTGGCTTAGTACTTAGGTAAAATGTTTTTACTTTGACTGAGTGTTTCAAGATATTCTGAATCAAATCAGCTTCAGTTATTTGTTTTTACTTTAATGCAATTAAGTACTCCGTATTTGTATAAATAAGTTCATAATATTATATTACAATTTGATAGGGTTCATATTTTCCACAATATAATAATTTCAATATGTTTCATATTTATAAAAATTAAAATTTATGTTTCTATTGAGTGTACATGTATGAAATTTTCATAAACAGATAGGTTGGATGCAACGATTAAAAGTATGTTTTTGAAAGCTACGCTGATCTTAATTCTTCATTAGGACCAATACTATTATCCGATTACCACAAATACCACATGGATAAGTCCATACTCCAATGTACATATATATATATTGTATATTGTGGTACACATACCTATCCTATAAGTGGCTATAACCTATAGGTGCCTACATGGATTTTACAAACACATACCTTTATACTAGAATCCGAGACCCGTGTCACGGCACACGTGACATCTTAACCATATTAAATATTGTTGACTGTCTCTTCAACACGTCGTATATTATATAATATAAACCGTCGTTGTTGCACAGATGGGCCAAGTGGATTGCTGGCCAATGCAGTGTCCACCGATGCTGCCCGCGGGCGTGGGCAGTTGTAGCGACTCGACGGCAGCCACGTTCGCCGAGTATAACAACCCGGTGGCCGATTGTTGCGCACCCAGATGCGATACCAAAGCCGTCGCGTCGGGTTCATCGGCAGCGGCGACCACGACGGCGATGACCGCTGCCGATCCGTGTCTACAGCAGCAGCTGCAGCTACAACCACTTGATGATTACCGGCACCCGGAAGTAAACGACGAAGACGACGACGATGATAACGACGACGGCGACCGCAGCAAAAACACCGACGAAGACAACGGCAATAACGGCAATAACACTACGCCGTCGCCCTTGGGCCAACCGTGTTTTTACGGCGGACGGGCCTATCAGTCGGGAGCCCGCTGGGACGATCCGGTGGATATGTGCACGTCGTGCGATTGCAAGGTAACGCAACGCCAATCCTAGTCACAAAATCAATTTACATATTAATATAATATGCATATAGGTATACTTATTGTACAAAACGTGTAACATAAATAGGTATTAGCGAGTATTAATAATTGTCGATGGTTCGATTTGTTTAACGGGGGGGGGGGGCGTCATTTGTTAATGTTTTTGACCGGGCACCGTACACCCATTTATAAAATATCATAATAGTATTTGACTACTATATAGAATATAATATTATAGTACATGACATATTTTCTGAGAATATCATTCATATTATGCTCTATGGTGCAAACATACATTGTCTATACATTTATACATAATATACCTCCTGTAACGTCAAAATATTATTATATACATTTTGCGTACGCGCACGGTGCGTATTTTGAGTATATTATACGATAATATTAATATCATAATTATTATTATCTATTTTATAGCCGACGCGTGTCGGGCTGCTTAAAAATCTTATTATATTATGTATATATATATGCCTCTAAATATACATATATTTGCAATTCGGTATCTTTGTCGTGCATGCATATATAGTGTGTATATTGTATAATGTATATGAATGTGTGTGCGTGTTAATAACGCTGACTGGCTGATTTACATAATAATAATACATTATTATTACGTTTAACCGAATTTTACTTAGTACATATTATAATAATATTATATAGATATGCGCCGCGCAATAACAGTTTTTTTTCGCAATTAATACATTTGGAGATTTTAAACAAAATAACAATATGTGGTTTTTATGTGGAGTCTACTAATGTAAGATGCTCGTCCCAAACGGAAACAAGACAGTTTTGTTGTACACAGTTACCTAAAAATGTTTTATCATATATTTTCGACTTTTTTTTCTCTACCTAGATTGTGTGTGTGTTAATATACGTTTTGTGTGTTTCCATTCAGGTGCCGCCGTACTGCGCCCAATCGGTGAGCAATATCGCGTGTTGTGTGCATCGGTAAACTCTCACATCTTTTTTTTTTTTATCCAATATACCTTTATATATTTCGGCTTTCTCTACTGCTATTATAATGTATTACATTCAATTTATTGTCTTTTCTACTGTACGATATTTATCAGCTTTTTATAGATGTTTTTTTCTCAACCCGTTCATCGTAAATCATATAATATTTTCGATATAGACCGTTCGATGTTTCAGCGTTTATATAAGCGCGTTGCAGTCGTTGCATATTATATATGAACCATCAAAAACACCGCCACCACGCATGCACACCTAATACATTAGTTTGCACGATTTTACCCGGTAGCACGTAATATATATTGTCTTGTGTAATTTGTTACTATCGTTAAAATTTTTACACTCATGAACAATAATTATTGTTATGATATTATGTTCTTAAAGCACGCACGCATGCACTCACATTCGCTCATTTGTTTTTTTTTTTATTAAAAAATATTTGCGTTAATCGTTCGCGGTTACTATAAGTGGGATGAAAATAAAACCTTGCAGTAAAACAATCGTAGTATAATAATATGATGCTCCTTGCAAACATTACTAGACAGCGCACAAATGATTTTTTTTTGTTACATACATATTATATATATATATAAATATTATATTATATATACTTAGTTTACGCCGACAGATGATTTTTATTTTGGTTGCATACGGTGTCATCCATGACGACAAAATAACGAGCATCTGTCGGCGACGTCCAACTTGCATTTTGTCGTTTGTGAATAATAAACAATGTTTATTTTTAGGACGGAGTACTATGTTGTTCTTACAACGTGCACCACTGCAATAATAGTGCTATTGCCGGTGCATCAAATCAATCATCAACTACAGACGTCAACTATAATGTGTCTACTGATCAGCCTCATCACATTTCTAACGAAAACACCAGTAGTCAATCTACCGATACGAAATTACAGCCAGATGTTGTTAAACGGAGTCTTCGGCGTCGAAGACAAGCAAAAATGGTTAACAATGATGACAGTAACATTAGGGACACTGTCAATACTACTTCTTTTGAATATAGTAATAATAACAATAATAGCTTTAACAAAAAAGACTGGTGGTGGAGGAAAACAAGACGGCGAAAAAGAAGAAGGACTCAAAATACGAGTAGCCGTCGGAACCAAATTAATAGTGTTAGTAGTGAAAAACATTTTAACAGTAATAATAAGTTTATCAATAATTATGGCATTAATAGTAAAAATGAAGACAATAATATTAATAATAATAACGATAACCACCACGATAGAATTGTTGTAAAGACTGTTGTTGTTACTTAAAGTAGATTTTATTTATTGTGTTTGATGAGTGATGACGAGTCGAGAGAAAAGATAACTGCAAGCAACACCGGCGGCGACAATATAACATTTAATTTGAATAATACTATTTATGTATTTATTAATAATAAAAAATCAAATTTACTAAACATAGGTAACATAATATAAGGTAGGTAGATAACATAATATGTTGCCTACTTTCTTAATTTTAATTTAAAAATCAGTTTTATACTCGTTCAAAATCGTTGCCACCGCCGTTTGCTATTTCCGCTGTGATAATATATAATACAAATAATTTTAATGCTATTAGTGTTATATATGTATACAATATACAATATACCTACATATATTATTATATATTACGTGTGTATGTATGTATATAATATATTATACATTATAGACAAACAGCCTATATCTCCCCTCCTCTCCGCTATCTATTTGTTATATTTTGTAATTTTAAAAATGTACTATTATAATATTATTAGATAAGTTTTATTATTATTATTATTATTTATTTATTTATTTATTTTATTATTATTATTATTATTTTTTTTTTTGATTGAATTACTAATAAATTAGATAATCAGCTGTGCAGGGTGTATTCAACAAACGATAATAATATATTATAATAATTATTATAAATCTATATAATCTTGCAAATTGTTGAAGTGTTGGCTTTGTTGGTATTAAAAAATATACTACTATTATTAGAAATTTATTATGTTATTAATAATGTTCATTTTGAACTAAAATACAAGACTGCTGGTCAACAAATGTAAAATATAGACGCGTTTAAAATATAGATAAATATATAATATATACAATAATAATAAGTATGTGTATTATAATTAGTATTTAAATTATTTAAAATAATTAATATACCAACACCGCCGCACTAACGAATGCTCTTTTCCTATAAATTTAATTGGCAGCAGACAATAAAAATATTAAACGATGATAATAATAATTATATATATATAGATATATTGTATATATATATTATGTGTAGGTATATATAAATATATATATATAAAGTTAATAATCATGTCTATGTATATATATATTACTATTAATATTATAGAATAATTTTTAATTGTTAAATTAGTTATACTTACTATTGTTTTGTTGTAACGCGTAAGTTACGACACGGATTTGCTCTCTTTCTTTCTGTCTCGTTAAACGGTGTTGTAATTAATTAAAACATTTTATAAATCAAATATAACGATACTGATTTTTGAAATAAGACAAATTAATCAGTGCTTGGAAAGAACACCTTTCCGCTCCGGAACGCTGTTTTGGTGTATCGCAAAAACTCTACAAGTTCAAAATCATTATAAATTATAATTATTGTTTTTAAATATTTTGTTTCTTATAAATGTGTGCTATACTATCGATTTGTTTTCTTTAATCCGAAAATGAAATTATTTTATCATAATAAATATCAAAATTAGGAATAATCATTGTAGAATAATGAATTCAATTTTACTATTTTTATTTGAAAAAATATTCATCTATATTTCTTTTGACATACCTATCTAATATTTAATAAAACTTAATGAATAATAGTTATGGAAATTAATAAGTTAGGTATATTTGGTTTAAAATTTAAGATACGCTCTTCTCTTTTATAAACTTATTTTTATTTTTAGTTATATATTTAAAGCGTTTCGGTGCAGAACTATATGTTCTTTCGAGCACTGAAAATAAAAAGCCTATATTGTTCCTAAAAAAACCGAGTCGTATTAATTATTTATTTGTTTAAAATAGAAGTTTAAAAATATTATGTTGAATATGTATGGATGTAAGACACGACTGCATACTGCAATATACTATATTATGAAATGTAATACACATACGACACATATTTTTCAGTGTAAACAAAAGAAATAATCACTGTGATGATGCGTAACATACAGTCACAAACACACACGTATACACTTACATACTCACATACATATACGATATACACCTACAGTATAACAATTGTATAATAATGATTGATAATGACAATGTTGATAATGATAAATATAGAGATAAAAATTTTAAAAATGTGATAAAGAATTTTTTAATATAATTAATATATAATCCTAATATTTCCAGTGGCAAATTTGAAAACTATTGATGCGCAACAATTATGAGCTATTATTTCCATTATAGTAATATTACTATTGCGAGTTTTGGTTGGAAGAGAAACTAAAATACTAAGTGACAATAAGCAGATTAGTATAGGTTTTAGGCACTCAACGAAAAATAAATAATAAAATTATACTTTTATGTTATAAATAAATTAAGGGACTGTATAAATTCGCCTAGTACGTTTTAATGATGGTCGATGATATTAATGAGTGTAAGTTTGCTATGGATTATCCTTGATGTGCTCGAGGGAAGAGGATAATAGGTCTCTGTATCTAAAATCGTATGCATACTGCAATAACGAAATAGCAATGATTTCAATTTTGTCATTGATAATGGGTGTTTTCCATTATATTTATATTCCGACCTCAGACGTAACCTATAGCTATAATCTGGCTGTCTATAGGTGTAATATGTAATGGATAAATAATTAATAAATAAATAGGTATAGGAGTAAATGATTAAGTGTAATTATTATTATTTGTTTGTTATCATATTTGTATATAATAATATTTACACGAATAATATTTTTTAAATACAACACAAAGTCACAAAACTAAAATCGTTCTTCTTCGTTAAAATATCTAATTTCATCCAAATAAAGAAATACATTTCACAAAATAAAATTCTATAAAATGGCTATCTTTAATTGTTTTAAAAATTAAAAAAACTTTTTTACCAACAAATTTAATTAAATAAAAAAATAAAAAATGTGTACCTAGTCATTGTCTCTATGAGTCTAATAAAAAAAACAAATTTATGATATATTTATATTATCTCAGGAGATATCGTAATGGGTAAATCCTCGAGGGATACTGTATATTATAGAGGTAGCTAACACGGCAATGCATATATTTTGCTATTGCAAGGTTTTTGTAATTGTTCAACTTCTTTGGGTGTAACACGCTTGCAATGTCTTTTAAAGTGTAAATTATATTATAATAGCCATCCCGACAAGGCGTTGTCAGTGAGATTCACTTGTGATTATGCGAGCAGTATATTTTATCAGGTATAGCCTTTGTACAACTGCCCCGGGCGCCAGTATTTTAGGGGCACCAAAATGTTGTGGTCAGAAATATGCTTACTTGTGAATTATTACAATTTTATAATTGTAATTATTTTCAATAACAGTATTATATTATAATAAAATTTAGTTATAATAGTATTATATATATATATAGTATTATGCTGTTTGACATTTTTTTAATTAATATTAATTTGCATAGTTTTATATAATTTTGTTTTATTTATTCATAAAGTACCTACAACCTACTTAAATATGTTTAAAAAAAACAACTTATTTGATGAATAATAAGCAAGATTTAAGTGAGATAAATTCAATTGTATCTTTGCGGAGAGAGAATCAATATTTTAGGAAAAATATTTTTAAAAAAAAGCACATATTGTAAAACAAAATATTATATTCTTTTCTGTGTTCAAAATCTAAAAGGTTAATGAGGAGCAAAATGTATAAATGCGGCACTTGAGGTAGGCAATCTACCCTCGGTACGTAAGTGTATAATTTACCTAGCTCTGAAGTACCTATCAACCAATTCAAACAATTAATATTTATGGTTTGAACTCGATACATTATGTACTAAAATACATAGGCTTATCGCATCAATAATAATAATTATTATTATTAAAACCAATTGCAACTATTTATAAACAAATAATAATAATAATAATAATCTCAAAATCCCTGTTTGAGAACCTCTCCGGCTTTGACCAATTATTTACCGTTTTTCTGGACAAAATGTTAGCACGATTTTTTCATATCCGAACACTATGACCTGAACCGAAATCAAAAGTCTTAAAACAACGGTTAAAAACCCGTTAACTGAAACCTAAAATCTTAAAAAACCCAAACCGAAACCATACAATTGGAAAACCGTTCTTAAAACCAATTAAAATTATTGAAAACTAATATCGATTTCTTCAAATTGTATAAAGTGAATTACCTATATAATTTATTATTCTAGTTAAACCAAGTATTTTTATGGGAAGAAAATATTTTGTTTGAACTCCGATGCCTATTACTGTAATTACTGTATTACTTGTAATATTACGAAACATCAAGAAGTACTTAATACGAATATAATTCTATTTATCTATAATATAAAAATGAATCGCCTAATGTGTTGCTAAGCCCAAATCTCGAGAGCAGCTGAACCGATTTGGCTCAAAATTTTTTAAGATGTTCGTAATTGTTAGGAGAAGGTTTTTTCGAAAGAAAATTTTAGGAAAATGTACAGGAAAAGTAGAAAATCTGGATGGAAAATACAGCAGTGGCTCAATAGTGTATTATATTATATTGGTTGCCACTGGTTAATCGGGCATGTTTGTTGATTTGTATTATTAATTTTTGTCAATATATCTATAATATAAATATATCTTTACCTATATACTATCTATACCTATATACCTATGTCTTATTTGTTATATAATTCTACTATACTTGTGTTGTGACTGAATTCCTCCTAAACGGTTGGACTTATTTTAATTAATTTTTTTGTATGCGTTTGTTTGACGCTTGGATAATTTAGATTCACAAATCACCCCCCTAGGTCCAACCAGGGGTGTGCTCAAACGGGGATTTAGAGATTTACGGTTGACATTTTTGTTTATCAAATGGTCGCCGTGGGTTTTAAAGCTATTATAATAATAATTATTGGTTGCCTTGAAATCAGGGTATTCATTCAATGCATTTAATTTTTTTGTATGTTGTACGCTGGGTTTTGGATATTATATGTATCGCAATTTCTTAAATATTGAGCGTATTATATACTCACATATAAGTTACGAACCTAGGTACATAAAACAATGCCACGTCTTCGTGGATGAGGAGGA